GAAGAACTTTTAAAAACTTGTTCTAAAATTGTTGAAGAAAAAACGACCAAAAAAGTTACCACTACAAGTAGTTCCACCGTAACACAATCATATGATAAAAAAGGAGAAAAGAAACATGAAGAAGAGCATGAAAGTATTATTAGTGGAGTAACATCAACCATTGGGTCAGCAACATCAACCATTGGATCAACATTTAGTGGATTCTTTGGAAAACATGACACTAAATCAGTTGAAACTACAAAGACCATCATCTCTAAACAAACCAATGAAGGCTCATTTTGTATTTCCGACACACTTTCTGAAATTCTTGACATATCCTCAGATACAAAATCTCAATCATTCACATCTACCATTCAAACATACGCTGTCAGCGAACGCCTCAAGAAAACCACTACACATTACACCTGGTGGACAACTGCAATAACCATCAGTTATCTTAAAATACATGCTTCCTCTCATGAAACAACATGGAAAGTTCAATATGAAAAGGCCAGAAAATATCTAAGTGAACAGATCAAAGACGTTGAACTCGAAGAAGAACTTTTAAAAACTTGTTCTAAAATTGTTGAAGAAAAAACGACCAAAAAAGTTACCACTACAAGTAGTTCCACTGTAACACAATCACATGATAAAAAAGGTGAGAAGAAACATGAAGAAGAACATGAAAGTATTACTAGTGGAGTAACAACATTAATTGGATCAACATTTAGTGGCTTCTTTGGAAAACATGATACTAAATCAGAAGAAACCACAAAAACCATCATCTCCAAACAAACCAATGAAGGCTCATTTTGTATTTCCGACACACTTTCTGAAATTCTTGACATTTCCTCAGATACAAAATCTCAATCATTCACATCTACCATTCAAACACATGCTGTCAGCGAACGTCTCAAGAAAACCACTACACATACCACCTGGTGGACAACTGCAATAACCATTAGTTATCTTAAATTGCATGCTTCCTCTCATGAAACAACATGGAAAGTTCAATATGAAAAGGCCAGAAAATATTTAAGTGAACAAATCAAAGACGTTGAACTTGAAGAAGAACTTTTGAAAACTTGCTCTAAAATTGTTGAAGAAAAAACAACCAAAAAAGTTACCACTGATACTAAAACCATTGTCGTTGAACATACTACCGCTGAGAATATTTTTAGTGGAGTGACCTCAACTAAAACTGTTTCTTATAAACAAGATGGGTACATTAATTCAGAATTGATTGTTGTCGGTGCAGCTTGTTATGCAAAATGTAAATGTACAAAACATTTTACACGAACCAAAGAAGCATTTAGTAAAGAAAAGGCCAACGAAATTATTGCTCAATATGCAACTGAAGAAGTTGAAAGATTACTTTCTTCTAATCCTACTCGTGATAATAAGGATGATATTATCAAACGTGCTAAACAGGCGGCTAGCTTTATTATTGATGAATATATTGTTAAGACTGGTGGAAAAGAATGTTAAATTTTCATATTTTTTGTGGTATAGTGATAGCGATCTTTAAATTGGGTTATATTAATTTTAGAAATTTTTCAATAATTTATTTATTGAAGATTTGTATATTATATTTATTCATTATTATTTTTATTATTATTAAATAAATTTAAATAAAGACATCAATTCTTTATATAAAAAAACTGTGCTTTTTCAATTGAAATTAAAAATCATTATTACATTTGAAAACAAGAAAAAAAACAACGCGTAAAATATTAAATTAATAGGATTTATCATGTTTATAAAAAACTAATAAATTATGCTAACAATATTTATTTGCATACAATAAAAAATTAACTTTTATTAAAACATTTCTATTTATATGATCGTTTAAATTCTAATTTTTATTTTACGAGTTATTCTTTTTTTGTAGAAATATTCACTTCTCATGAGAGCCTCCTCCGTCATTACGATGAATCGTACGTCCCGATTTAACTGGTCTGTACTCTTGACGTTTCTCATGAGAGCCTCCTCCGTCATTACGATGAATCGTACGTCCCGATTGAACTGGTCTGTACTCTTGACGTTTCTCATGAGAGCCTCCTCCGTCATTACGATGAATCGTACGTCCCGATTTAACTG